ATATTATAACAGTGCTGAGGAATATTGTTTAAAAGTGTAAAAAATAAGTGTATCATAAATATTTCAGGTGTGAAAACTCAAAATCGGTTTACTTATTTTGCTTATTTTGGCGCATTTATATAACAACCTTTTATCCATATATACTAAAATAAAATAAAAACGACTAAACAAATCTAAATAATAATAATAAAATGCAATGTTCAATCCAATGACAACAAATTACATACGGACCTCTATACAAAAATATTTATTAAACACAATCATTAATGTGATAGATACTTTCTGCCCTTTAAACGTCTTCGAGCCAAAATTCTTCTTCCTGATTTGCGCCTTAACCTAGCCAAAAAACCATTTCTCCGTTTTCTTATGAGATTACTTGGTTGATATTCTCTGCCATAAGCTTTGAATCGAACTTGAGGAGACCAAAATGTGTTTATGGGAATGGGATTTTGTGATTGAATCCTGCTTTTTTTATATAAAATTAATTCGTCTATTCAAACTTTTTATACTGATGGCTTAATACCTTAAAGAATTTAGCCCAAAGTTAAAACTAGTAGGAATGAAAGTTTTTAAAGAGAAGGGGTGAATTTTTTTTTGTAATTGAGGTACTACCGGATAAATTCTCTGTGTCAACAAGGAAAACATTTTTTTTTTTTTTTTTATGACGATAATGAACGTGTTATGTATAAATCTATATTAGCCAATCAGAGACGATTTCAATATCGACTATGACCCGATCCAATAGTCATGTAATCTTTGGATATAATTACTAGCTAAACTTTCTTTTTTACCGAAAAATTCACCACCTTTCGCTACAACAATAGTATCAATCAATGGTACAAGGAATTCATGCAAACTAACATTGTCAATTGGATTTACAATAAATTTCAATGTCGTGGTCCAATCTGTGAAATTAGACAACATAAATACACAAGGAAATTCATCAAAGAATCTTGACAGTCTTGGATCCGATTTAGTTAAATTTGTTGCAAGATAAATTATTGGATAATGTCTTTTCTCCGGTGGGCTATTTTGTATGCATACTTCAACTAACATTTGTGTCAAAGTTGGTTGAAAACCTCTTGATGCCAGTTCTATTCGATCTGGAGTATTACTGTTAGTTTTTTGAGGCATTACACCTAGCTGATTCTTTAATTTTTCAATGACATCATCAATAAACGTTTCTTCTTTGTTCCCCATTATATCATCCATTTGTTCGAAGTGAACCCCAATGTAATTTGCCAAACCGCCTAATTGTATGCTGATTTCTTCACCCTTTTCAAGTAATAATGGATGATTAATCATTAAACTATTTCTAATATTATGCAAAATTTCCTTATTATCATTCAACTTCAAATTGAGTCGATTAGTTCCAAATAGCGATCCAAAATGTAATAAAGTTTCATTTCTTCGTTGCAAAGAACATAAATGAGTCATGTTTTTATATCTCATATCAGATGGAAATTTCTCGTTTACATCATCATAAATCTGATGACTGTAAATTTCTTCATCGTCTAACATATAAAACTCATTTTTTTGATCAGTGATATTTAGAAATAAAAGAAGGTTTGTAAAATTATAAGTTTCTCTGTTAATTGATCGAATGTTCTTTTGTGAAAATTCCATATCCATCAAAAATTCCCATTTTACAAAAGTGTAAAGATCCTTTTGAACTTTTTTTTATACATTGTTTATGTTTAGAATCCAATTCGCATTCACTATTGGTATCGTCGTAATGCTTTAAATTTATCAATATTTCTGATAGATTTTTAAATGGCTTATTAGGCAACAGTTCACCAAATATTATTGATGGAACTATTAATGTACGATTTGTTGCCCAAGCCAAAAATATAGCATTCTCTAAACTGATACGTTGCTCATGAAAAGAGCCATGGGGAAGATAAGCTAAGTAAAGTTCATTGCCAATAT